CAACCCTAGCCTCAACCTATTCTTCCTGTTGCCGTGGAATCCCTTCATGTTGTTATCATAACTAGAAGCTAATGCTTATATATATTTTGGACTCGTCAAAAGTTATAAAACTATTTATATACTATAGTATTCATTTCTTTTTGTTAAAGTTAAACTTTTATTTTATTCTGCACCAATCTGGAGATATTCTATTTTTGGGTTTGATGAAAAGTTTATCTTAAAGGCCCAATTTACAGTTTCTGCAAAAGAAGTGAATTTAGTTTTAGATTGAAAGAACAATTTGCTCCTCAGAGGTTTGTAAAAAAAAAAACTCTAGTTTTCAGTTTGATGCTAGAAGAAAGTGTTTTCTATGCAGCACTAAGAATAAAAAAGGAATTAGCCCAACTTCTCTTTAGCTTCTGTAACAGACTAGATTGTAATCCGAGGCCTCTCAGCTGACTGTATTGTGTTTTATTTCCCCCCCGCCCCGCAGCCTTGGCTCGATAACAAGCACACAGTGTTTGGAAGGTGCATCAAGGGCATGGAGGTGGTCCAGAGGATCTCCAACGCTAAAGTCAACCCCAAGACCGACAAACCGTACGAGGACATCAGCATAATCAACATCACCATAAAGTGATTCTCTCTCCATTTTCTTCCATCATTTTTACCAACTTATTAAAGAATAATGATTTCTAACCCACTGAGTTCTGGTTTCTTTTGCAAAAAATGTTTGCATCAAGCAAAAAGCAGCAAACCTGAGCCGCTCAAATGATGTCAAATAGTTTAATTCTTTTTTACAGCGTCACATTCTTTATAATTTACAAAAGCCAAAGTCATCAAGTCCACTTGTAACAAAGGTTTGGCTGCGTACTGTGCTTCGGTTCTCACAAACGACACGAAAAGGCTTTTCACACGTGCATCTTTTTTCTTTTTATAATACATGGATACAAATAGTAAACATTACATAGCAATGAATAAACTCAAACCGCGGTTTCTCATTAAGAAGTGTCAGTGTTAGGTTTCACATCGTAGAACTACGACCAGATAAATCAACAACAGGCGAGAAGAAACTTGCACTTATGTTTTTTTTAAACGTAGTTGGTTGAAATCTCGTTTTCATTCTCTGGTCACAAACATCCTCTTCCTGTCTATAAATAAATTCAGTAAACAGTTGCTGCGTAACAGAAAGCGCTCAAGCGGTGCGACCCTTCAAATCCAGCTGGAGTTTCAAACAGGTTCACAAGCTTTACAGAAAAAAACAAAACAAGCTTGACGAAAAAAGAGCCAATTGCACCACAGCAGATACCGTTTTACGTCAGGCGATGAAATGAACAGCAACTAGAAGCCACTCTACTCACTGAAGCGATAACGGATTAATATTTCTGATTACTTCAAGGTCACTGTAGTCGTTTACCTGAACTATCTAATGGTTAGTGGATTAAACGATATACAGAATAAGAAGGTTGGGAAAAAGCAGATCTGCTCCAGACTGGAGGAAGGAGGAGCGTTTTGGAGTAAATGGGTTCAGCTAGTTAAGGAAGGAGGCATCCGGAAACGCTTCGTTATGTGGATGGCCGCGAATGACCGGTTCATTCTGATATTTAGAAAGTGTAACAGCGTAATTCCCCAAAGAAAGAAAAATGGAGGATCAGGGTTTCAGCCGCAGCCTGGAGGTTTGAGGAGAGTAGATGTTGGGGTTAGGAGGGTTGGGTTTTTTATTTGGATTAGTCAGTGAACGCAGAAGAAGAAGATGATGATGATGATGCTTTTAGGCTACATCCAGGACCCCCGCTGCCACCAGCTGTCTGGAGAGCCAGTCCAGCCCCTCGTGGAGCCCCATCCCGCTGCGGGCGTCGCAGCCCTGGATGTGCCAGCTCCTCCCGCAGCACAGCTTGTGGAGGCTCAGCAGCTCCGTCATCTCCTCCACAGACAGAGCGCCGGGAACGTCCTGCCAGGCAAACAGCATGGGGATGGTTAAAACTTAAACTGCGGAGAATATAGACTCTTGCAAGAGAATGTTCAAATTTATTTAACATCCTCAGACGGAGAGATGGCGCTCTGACTGAGGCTACCTCAGCACATTTATACCTTACAAAATCCCAACACAGACACTCTCCCTTGGAACTATCCCA